ATCATCTTTATAATTAGAATCTTTATATCATAATAAACCTAATGTCAATGATAACAGCAGTATCAATGTCAATAGCTTCAGAAAAATAGAAAGCCTGAAAAATTAAGGGGTAATGAGATGCAGTCACCAGGGCCTACTACATGACTTCTCAGTGGCTGAGCACATGTGAAGATTAGAAGGCTTTCTAGTCCAGTTGCAAAAATCAAATAATCAAATAGTTTTTAGTGTTTTCTTTCTGTGTTTAAATATGAGCAAAAAGAAAAACACTTTTGCATCACTTCATAATTTTATTTTCAAATATTCAATTCATGAAAAATCCCTAAGATACAAAAAAAATGCTTCAATAATGAATTATTCACAAATGAAGGCAGAACTTACCCAGTCCGACACAGGAGGAATCGTGCCAAGGAATAATGAGGAGTTATTCTTGACAAGACACTGGCCATAACCATGGTCACAACAAGCTGGACTCCAAAAACTGCCTATAAAAATAAAATTAAAACAGTTAACTAAAGGACTTCCTTGAAGATCTTTTTTTACAAATGAAACTTTCTATCAAGAAATCACCAAAGAAAAAAAAATGGCGAAACAATTAAAGGATTCATTAAAAGAATTTTTCATTACTATAATGAACTGGCCATGAAAAAAGTCCAGCAAGCAAGCAAAGAGGAGGCTGACATGGTCTTAATATATATCCAAATGTAAACAGTATATGTGGTAGAAGTGACTACTAAGGGGTAAAAGTCTTGAAATCATCAGTAATCTAGAGAGAAAAAAGTCCATCAAGCAAGCAAAAAGGAGGCTGACATGGTCTTAATATATATCCAAATGTAAATAGCATATTTGGCAGAAGTGACTACTAAGGGGTAAAAGTCTTGAAATCATCAGTAATCTAGAGAGAAAAAAGTCCATTCAGATTTGAACATTCCACAATATAGCAGTAAGGTATGCCCTCATAACAATTTTGAGCAGTATATAAACAGACAACTTTCTTACCATATTGTAATATGATTATAGAAATAACTGGTAATGTCTTACACAGAATACACAAAGTTACTGAATGATTAAGTGCAAAAATTAACACATTAAAAAATTCATAGGTTTTTCTTCCTAACACTGATCGATAAATGCAGCATTTCATTGTCAAACTACTTTGTGTATTAATAAGCATTTTTCAAAACGATATTTGGCTAATCATCTGTATCTGCTGTTACACATTTATGCCTTTACAGTCTTTTATTAATATTATTATATTTCATTTGCATCTTTTAATATTTATCTATATCCTTATATAGAATCGTGTGCATCGAGTGTTTCACATTTTCTTGCTCATGCTGCGAGGTGTCAAACTATGACGCGAATTCATTTCAAGCTAAAACTCCGGTGAGAAATGTTGCATTTCCAGTGTTTTGTTGATTCTGTTGTGGCATCGAAGGATAATTAGACTTTAGTAATCATCCCAGTTTTATATCTGAGCCCATCAAGAGCTCCAAATGACAAAAAAGGTGATTAAAATAGAAGCAATTCCAACGGGACAAAGAAACAACGAAAGTTTGACGTTTCCGGATATAAAGGTATTTGGTTTATTATTTTACGATGTGAATGCAGCTCTATCTTGCTGTACATACCGTGGTGGAGAAAATGTGTCCTGGGGAGTGTTGAGGGGCTTGCCCCCCATCAATCCTCCCCTTGGGCAGTGCCTGAAGGGCATGCCTAGTCACAGCAATTTATATTGATATAATATGTTGGTTTATTGGTCAATATGTTTTTTGGAGGGGTTGAAACGTGTGAATTCCTGTAGAATCTTGCCAAAAGGTGGGTTGGGTTCCTGTGGAGTTTTTAATTTCTGGCGCCTCAGCCTGCAGAATTTCAAAGATGCCACTTAAATCTGTAGGGTTTCATTGGCCGATTTTAAGCATTTTTTGTGCTAGTTTTACGCATTTTTAATTGTTATTCTTCTTATTGAAGCGTGTTTTAGCCCATAATTTCCCTAATATACAATATGCCCTCCCATGCTAACGGGACTAACAAATCAAGATCGTCGAGGGAGACAGAGAGGGCGGGAAGGAGAGAGAGAGAGAGAGAGAGAGAGAGAGAGAAGAGAGAGAGAGAGAGAGAGAGAGAGAGAGAGAGAGAGAGAGAGAGAGAGAGAGAGAAAGAGAGAGAGAGAGAAGAGAAGAGAGA